GGCTGCATACTGCTGGAGGTGGCAGGGAAGCGCCGCAGGGTATGTGGGCTCTAGGCTGTTGTGGGGTGTGGGGGGGGTGCTGACCAGCTCAGGGGAACACATGCAGGGGTCCCATGCACACCCCACCATACCCACAAACCCTCCCCCACAAACCTGACAACCACACCATCCCCCACACACAATCACACACCCCACAAACACCGCAGCCACCCACACCGTCCCCCGCACCTCCCCTACCTGCACCCACACATACACACAAACACACACCCGCACACCTCTGGGGGGAGCCCCACTCACTGCTATGTGCACACACCCAACCACACACACACACACACCACCCCACACACACCCCACACCCACCCAACCACCCTCCCTTCACACACCACACAAACCCCATACCCACCCACACACACATCCCCACAAAAAATGCACCCACAAATGCACCCCCACACACAGCCTCCCCCATAAACCCCATACCCACCCCCCATGCCCCTCCACACTCCCCTGCAATATACAAGAGTAAGACCTCATTTTGAGCTATTATGGAATCACCTCCATATACACCATACAAACATACACAATTTTTTTTTAAAATAAAATTTAAATATGTTATTGTCAATGTTTGATTTTTAATATATAATTTTTTTTTCTGGTTCCAAGATGGCAAACCCCCTTCCCAAAAGGAGTACTTCTGGGGGCAAGGGGAGGGATTTCTGGTGGCAAAGGTCAGAGATTAGGGCAAGGGACTTCAGCTCCCAAGATGGTGACCAGGGGGCAGGGCGCCTGTCAAGGGGCAGAGCTACCCTTGCAGCCCTCAACAGCTTGCCAAATCTTGTTAAGTGGCCATCCATGCAAAATAATTGCCCACCCCTGTGCTAACTCCTTGTGGGTATATGTGATCTATCAGCTGTGGACGTAGAAAGTCCCTTTCCCATTAAAGAAAACCACACTTCAGTCTTAGCATGATAAACTTTTTACCACAATCTGGAGTAATCCCCAAAGTGAGAACATCTGTCTCCCCATAAACTGTATGATTTTGGAAGTTTCTAAGAGATCATTGGAAAATCCCCATAGAGTTACACTGGAGAGAGGTGAACCCAGGGAAGAAGGGTTTCTTCAACAAACCAAAGAACCTAAAGATTTATTTGGAAAAGTAAAATCAATCACACCCCACCTCCAAAAGTCCACATCTAGTGTGTTGCTATAGATTTTCCTAGCCATCCCTGAGCTAAACATGCCTCTCAAGCCCCTGGCAGACCTTATACTTGAGCTGCAATTTACCTGTTACAACACATTTAGACTATTAATGGTGCAACAAAAAGCAAAACTAGCCACAAAATTACTACACAAAAAATTGTAGCAATTTTGTGGCTGGTTTCCATGGGGCCTTAATTTGAATGTGTGCCACAGTAGATGGTACCAGGGCTCCAATGGGCCCAAGTGGGTCCTTCCTGCTGCTGATCAGCTGATTAGTAGCAGCATGAGGACACTGCTGGTGCTTGAATGGGCCCCAGTATGTCCCTACGTACCGTTGATCAGCAGCAACATGAGGACTACCCTGGAGCCCATGCAAGCCCCTATGCTGCCGCTGATCAGCAATTGACTCCAGGGACTTGAACCAGCCTGTTGCGTGCCTGGAACCAGCTAATAATCAGCTGATTGCTGGGCACCTTTGCAGGTGCAGATGGAGCTGAGATCATGATCCTGGGCTCCCCCTGTACTGGCAAGGAGGGCACAATTGGGGTCTGATTCCTGATCCCAAAATCACACTTTCTGCTATGCACATGTAGCATGGCAGGAGGCGTGATTGTTGGGATCACAGACAAGATCACATCACACCTTTAACTAAGTATCTGTTGGTGGCCTCAATTTCTTTATACACTCCTGTGTAATACCTCAAAACCAGAAGGATGGTGAGTTACAAATGGCTATTTTGCCTTTCAAAGGTCGGGCCATGATGTCTCTGGAAGGTGGGAGAGGCAGGATCCTCCAGATCAGTGACCTTTTAGTTTGTCTTTTAAAACTATTGAGAATGGCCACTGGATCTGCAGTGACATGGGCTGTCTATACATGTGCTCTGTGGTGGGGAGGGGGGGACACTTTAATTAGAGAGCTGCTTTAATTAAAGCGCCCAGTGTCACATGTATTCAGTGTCCCGTGCTTCAAAATGGCAGTGGGGGCACTTTAACTAAATCTCATTCGATGAGCTTGCCACTATTTTGAAATGTGGGGACGCTAAATACATATAACATGTCCACTCCAGCAGACTTGCAGCAGACTCAGTTAATCAAGTCTGCTCCAATGCATGCTAATTAGCAGGTGTCAGAGCAGAGCTCCATCACGTGTATAGGTGCCCATGATGGATCCAAAGAGCAACTCATTCCCCACTGGAGAAGTTAAAGAACAGATGCAGATCTGTAGCAAAGATCAGTACAGAAGACATATGGGGCATCTCTATTCACCCTTTCTCATAGCACAAGAGCAGCAGAAGAACCAGTGCAGACAAATAGTGGCAAACTGAGCAGCAGAAACACTTTGGTCCACAACTTAGTTATCTGTGGAACTCTTCATCACAAGGTATCACTGCAGCCAGTCACTTAGCCAGATTTGAAAAATGACTGGAGCCTTCCATGCATAACAAAAGGATCTGGTGTTCTAACATACAGGTTCTTCTTTGCTCAACATAACCCAAGAGTTTCATAAGGGATAGACTTCAGATTCCAAGGGTGCTTGTACAAGTGACAAGGGTCTAGTTCGGTTTAGTTCTCCCTAAACTGAAAAGGAGGATTTTAAAAACCCACTGTTTCCACCATTTCAATTTAGGGAGAACTAATGGTGAGGGAGTGGGGCTGGGGCAGGGACAGGCACTGCCCAGCTGGGGCGGAGCGTGGGACAGAACCACAAGCGGCTCATCCGGGGCATGGGGGGGGGGGTAGCTCCCACCACTGTGCACACCCCATGAGGACATGGGAGGCAAGTGTCCCTGGATCTGGGCACAGGATGAGGAAGGGCTGCTGCTGTGGGCTGGGGGCTGCACGAGGTTCTTCCCAGTGGGGGGCTGGGCCAGGCTGCACTTGGGGCAGGCAGTGGTGCTAGGGGAGGGGGTTGGTGGGGCTATGGCAAATTTTGGGATGGCTGCAGCACCCCCATCCCAGTACTGCCACTGCCCGCACTGAGCGTAACCCTGCCCAACCTCTCCACTGGGAAGAGCCCAGCACTGCCCCTGACCCCAGCCCACATCAGCAGCCTGCCCTCACCCCATATGCAGATCCAGGGGCACATGCTCCCTATGCCTTCCCGGGGTATGCACTGCAGTGGGAGCCGTATCCCCCCAACATGCCCTGGACAAGCCACTCACATCTCAGTCCCACGCCCCACCCTGGCTGTGCAGCATCTGTCCCTTCCCCAGCCCTACTCCCTTCCTCACCGTGGGGGCCTCAATCTGCCCCCCCTTTGCCTCTCCCCCCACAACAGACTTACCAGCCAGATTCAAATGCTCTCCATGCTGCCGGGTTGTCCTCCTGAGCATGCATGGGGCATTTATTGGCCACATCAGCCAAAAAAAGCTGATTGCTGATACTTTCCATTTTCCTTATATTGATGCCGATCCGATATGGAACCGATGTATCAGTACACCTCTAATTTACAACAGTACCTTCTTCAGAATGTTCCTCATCACGTATTTCCGTAGGCATTTTTCCAGTTCATTGTTACCCTCCACCATAGAGACTTTTCTAAGGACTCCTATGGAAGAAAATTCAGGATTTTGAACTAGAGAAGGAACAGCTTGTGGCTGAAGCACAAGCCTAGGTGTGTAGAAATCAGTGCTTCTTCCTAGATTCTGTTGTGTGACGTTTGGCTAGTCCCGTAAGGCAGGCTTTTGCATAGAAATTTAGTGGACCTGAGCAGTGTCAGGGTGGGGCTTGGGATTCTTGTCTACTTTATTATCATCTTGAAAATGCAAAATCACTGCCTGAGATATTCTAGCCAACTCCTCCTTCCAGCTCCACCAACATTTCTCACCCTTACAGAATACCCACAAGCCCTGCAAAGGGCTTCCCTGAAGTGTCTCTTCTTGGAAACCAGGGATCTCCAAGCAGCTACCAGAAAAGGTGGGGAAAATATCTTTTCTCATCCCTTGTCAAAATTCCCTTTTGCCACTACCTAGCCAGCTTGAAACCACCAGAAAGGAGGAAGAGCTGGAGGTGAGAAGCAGCTTGCTACCTCAGAGCTTTGTTGGCAGGAAGTACAGGAGGCCAGAATAAGAGGGACAGTAGCTTGCTAACCCCTTCATGCAAGTCATACAAAGTGGTCTTTTACAAATCCCATCCTCCTGGGGGTCACAGAGGTAGTACAGAGGGACTCACCTAAATTCCTAGCATCAGGATAGTGTCGTAGGTAGTGTGTATATTCCTTAAAGGCAAGCGAATCCAGTGGAAAAATGTTCTTTAAGTATCTAACCTGAATATATGCAAAATTAAAAGGATAAATCAGTTTACATGAGACTAGAGTTAGTTAAGAAAATACTCCCACCCGTCACTGTTATCTCCATCCTTAGCTTCCCTGTCAAGTTTGTGGTGATACAGCAAAATAAGGGAGTGGTACTCAGCAAGGAGTTTTTGGCTGGAGTAAAGCAAGTGACCATATGCACAGCAAATACAACAAAATGGCTCTTCAGCCTGGACTTCAAATATAAGAACTGGGATGTTGTTTTTAGCAAGGGGTGACGGTCAAAGGGAAGAGTTGTGGAGGAAATTCATTATCCTTTCAAACCCCTGGGCAATAATGGTGCACAGGGCAGTGCTGGCTGCTGTGCACACAGCCATCAGTTGTACTGATGGCTATTTTTGGCCACCCCCCTCCCCCTTCCAAAAGCAGTACCTGGAGCTAATGCCCTGATTCCACCCCTTCAGTTATGCTACTGCCTGGGATGTAGTGATGTAGTGCAGAAAAGAAGCAACATGAGATACAACAGCATTTTTATCCCTTTGTGTGACCCCTTTTAGCGCTCTCACCAAGCCCCTGTCTCAAATCCAAATCTCTTGTCTCCCTTTATAGATACGTGCCCTAAGGCTATGCAAAACGGCACTGTTCCATTTCAACTTCAGTTTCGAGGTCTGGCCAGAACAGTGTTTTGTATCGAATTTCATTTCAAGTCGAAACAGTGAGGCTGTTTTGACACTGTTTCAACATTTCACCTGACCATGGGGCTGGGGAAAGGAACTCAGCCCAGCTGGGGGCAGGAAGTCAGCCCAGACAGTGCGATCTAGTGCAGGGGGTGGGAAGTCAGCCCAGTTGGACTGACTTCCCATTTCCAGTGCTATGGTCGAAACGTTTCAACTTTCAAAATGTTTCGACTAGCCTCGTTTTGTTTTGAGGCTATTTCGACACCCTTTGTTTTGCTTCGATTTTGCTGTTTCGACCTCAAAATGAGTCGAAACAGTGTTGAAATGAAATGGCTGGCAAAATTTCACATAGCCTTAATGTGCACCACCCTGATTCACCCACACCCTCATCTACTTACCAACTTTTCAGCCTTCCCAACACAGCTCCTCCCTAGCCTGGCTCAGATGCTCACTGAACACCCAGCTTTCCTTCTACTCAGAAACACATCCCACACACATGCCCAGGCCCTAGACTGAGACCCTTCATCTCAACTACACCCTCCACAGTTCACAACCATACCCTCAATTCTAAACCCTCACTCATCAAACCATCTCAGGCTCAGTATAACCCTACACATCCCTCAGATTTAGAAAACCCACCCTAGACTACAAAATCTTTCCCCCTTACTTGCCACCTGATGGAAATCCCTCAGGTCAGAACTCTTCTCTGTACCTTGCTTGGAAAATTCCTGCTTCCCTTGCCCTGTGCCTCCTTCCTCTGCTTTTTTCCCACCTCTTGCAAGGTTCCAGGGGCTAGAGATTACAAGGAATACACCTGGGTAGTCCCGGAGTCCCTTTCTTTAGGGCTAACACTGCAAAAGCTTGAATTTCTTGTTCTGTGCTTCCTCCCTGCCTAGAATGTTTGTGCAGCAAGGCCAAAAGTTTCCCAGTGGCTGCCCCACTGCAAGTCCCTGAATAGCAGTAGATTGTCTTATCCTCTGCAATACAGTGGCTGTGCAACAGAGTACTCCCAGCTGCTCTCTCAGACCCACACATTAATACCAGATATGCACAGAAGCAGAAATGTTGTCCTCCAATACACACATGCCAATCTACAAAACAGTATTTTATAACCCTACTGGATGAGACTCATCATTGTGTAGTCCCTAGTGCCCACCTTAACAGCTCTTTGACCTTTAATTCTTTCAGTTTCAATCATGTTCCGGTCACAGAGCTCCCAGCAATTTGGCGATAGAATAACTTCACTCGCATTTGCTAGGCTTTGAGCCAAACGAACTTCATCCACTGCCCGGCCAATTACCAGAAAATACTGGTGCTTGTTGTCTCCAACAACAACTTTGGAGATATGACCTGCAGAGAGTCCTGTTAAGAGAGAAACTAGGTTGTTGGGGAGTAAAGCAAAATGTTTTTACTTTACGATTTGCAATATAGGTATCTCTATTTAGTTTTGGAAGCCAAATTAGACATCCAAAATGTCTCTCTCAGGGTGGAAAACTTAAATCAGTTCTCGATGCTATATGATACTTATTGCAGGATACAAGTCTTTCTAGCACATGGCTTTACAAATATTTAAACAGTATGGGAGAGAGATTATATACTCATAATATATAAATATAATTCTAACTTTGTGTCATTTGTTGTAGAGTTGCAAACCATCTCCCATTAATCTGCCTAAGTTAGATCATTAACTTCCAAAAAGATCACCTCTTAGTTGGAAATTCTTCATGGTTTGTCTGTTTCCAGATAACCAACTTATTTAACATTTGAAACCTAATGCTTACCCCCTTCCCATTTAAAATAACCATTGCCAAATGTTTTCTTTTACACACAATCTACCCAAAAACAACTGAAGCTTAAAGTGTGTTACTTGGTATATAGCTAATGTCCAGTTAGGCAATCATGCATGAACACATTCAAAGTGCTTTGGTTGGATAGTAAAGTGATAAGCAATTCATTAAACCCTTCTGAGCCTGCTCAGTAAAGTATCTATTAATGGCAAAACTCAGTATGAAAAACAATCAAAACACAACCCCCCCCCCACACACACTATCGTTTGGGACACCATGGAGCATCCTGTCTACCAGGCCCCAGATGGGGCCCAGCAAACAGAGGAGCTGCGTACTCACACTGAGTGCTGAACCATTTGACAAGAAGAGACATTGTAACTGAAAAAAACTTGTAGAAAAACTTACAAATAAAAACTACCCCCTTCCCACCACAGTCTTCACATCAAGAAAGACAGAAAAGTAATCACAAGTTCCTGAAGAACCCAAACTAAGTGTCTGACTATGTTCTGCCTGCCAAACAGGCAGCTGCATGAACAAAGCCATTATTAAAGGCCCATCTGCCAACCTGAATGACTAACAACTCCCTGATGTTAGCAGTCAGATGTAGAGCTGGTCAAAAAATGTTTTCCTCCCATAGAAAGTATCAGTGAAACAAAACAAAACGAAACAACATAACCATTCACCTGGATGTTTTGTATAGAAAATGTTCATTTTCAGCAGAAATTTAAATACAAAAATATTCCAGCCAAAAACAAAAAAAAGTGACCTCAACCTTTTTATAAAAAGTGATTCAGAAATACTGACACTTTGCCTCATAGCAGTTACAGTTTAGGTGGCTGAAGCTCCCAGTTTCCCCATTAAGCCAGTCTCCCTCATTGGACTATTTCCTCCACCTTCATTAGGCAGCTTATCACTGAAGCCCTTGGGTAGGCTTTAGGGCAGTGATTCTCAACTGGGGTCCATAAGACTTCCCCAAGGGGTGCTGCAGTGCCTGGCCCCTATGCAAGTAGGTAAGTATGCTGCTCACTCCTCCCCAGGAGGAGTGCACAGATTGTTGCTGCCCTAAGCAAATGAAATTTTGCTCCCTCACCCCCCCCTTGTAACATACTTGGGACCTGGTGAAGGCAGGCACCAGACAGCCCCAGAGCGGGCAGTTAAGCAGTGCAACAGTTGCCCTGCTCACTTCTGTACATGCCCAGACTCCCAAGGTGGCTCCCACGAGCATGTATGACATGTGTGCACACCTTTTTTGCCACTCCCTTCAATCTTCCACAGCCACCTGCATATCTGGCTGGTTATGCCAGCCCTGCTCCCCCCACCCCCTACTCACCCCAGAGTCCTGAGGCTGCCTCTGTATGGGCTTCTCTGAGCAGCATGCTCTGCCACGGGTGGGTGGGCAAATGCATGGACACAGAGCTGTGCTTTTCAGCCTGACTTTTGTCTCCCAGCTCACTGCACATTCCCAGGGATGATGGGAAGGGCCATGGGGAAAGGTCTGCTCTGGACCCCAAAGCAAGTCTCCAAAGGAACAGCTGTGATGGCAGGAGCTGCACCTGCCCCCTGTGTACGGACTGAGGGCAGGGAGAGGGCTCCCTGCTCCTCTTCTAAGCTTCACATCTGTTGTCCCCCCATCCCTGCACCTCTGACACCCTCAGTGCCCCACCATATGCTAAGTGTGTCTAGTGGGCTCGCCATTTTAGCCTGGCAAGCCCAGCTTGGAGAAGACACTTTAGATTGGTGGAACATTTCTACCAATCAGGTAGCAGCTGGGAGGGGCTTGCCCTGCCACTACTGGGTGCGGGGGTGAGAAGCCCCTGGACCGGACCTGACTGAAGACTGCACTTTGCAGGTCGGGCAGACTTCAGGGGCGGGGTCTCCGGTGTAGATAAAAGCCCAACACGCTGAGCATGCTGGGCAGAGATGGTGAGGGACACTGGAGGGGAAAGAGCCTTCACAGGATCCCTTCTTCACCCCAGCACAGGGCTCAGGCTCTGGGAGCCGCGTCAAGGCAGCTTGAGCCTGCATCCTCAGCAGAGGGCTGGACAGAGCGGTGTGCGGACTGGCACACAGAGAGCTGGCCCTGGGAGCAGCTTAATGCTGCTCAGGTTAGCCCTGGTGTAAGCCAGATAACCAAAGCCCTGCAGTGTGGCCCAGCCAAAGAACTAAAAGAGCCCTGGAGCCTAGAGCAGGGCCTGAGAAAGGGGAGGCCTAGGCATAAGGTTAGGTAAACCCAGCCAGCAGCGACTAGATTCCCACCCCCACAAGAGCTGGAAGAACCCTTGGTGCCCAAAGCGGGGCACAAGGCCAGGAGGGGAGGTCTCAGAGTGACGCAGACAACACTGGTGGGGCCTCTGATTGAGCGAAGGGCTCTGAGGCCCAGTTGGCGGCTCCTCGAAGAAAAAGTTGCTGGTGGAGTTGGGTCCGGTAGAGGGAGGCATTCCT